AAAATGCAATATACTTTTCTCCACTCTTATAAATGTATGCTAATGCGAACCTTACAATTGAAATATTAATTTTCGACAACTTAAACCAATAATATACGAAGGAATTAATAATTTAATTGTAAGGTCGAATTAGTTTACATTTATCAAAGTGGAGAAAAGTTTAACTTTTGTATTAAAAATGTGGCAACATGTACGATACGTAAATAGAACGCTTCGCTTTGATATATTTGTCGCTGTTCATAATTGTTATAATAAGTTTTTCTTTCTCTTTCCACGCTTTTTTTCCAGCTTTTTCTAATCAGACTATCAGCTTCTAGACTTATTACAGTATCTACACTATATTAAGTTAACTAGAAAATTAGTATATCTCTCATAACCAGATTCCTCACCGTATTGATCAGGCAATTTGAAATAAGTATAATTATTGTAATTTTCAGTAAATAAATTTGCAATAAAAATTATTGTTAATGGCACCATTAATGGTGTATTTGTATATTTCTAACACATATGTAATCGTATTTCAAAATTGAATAATTTTTAATAGATTTTCGAAATAGACAAAAGGGATAGAGATGGATATGTATTGAGCCTAAAACGTATCAGACGGACCAGAAACAACTAAAGACTATCCCTACTGCTCACTGCATTATTAAATGCATGTGGGACAATCCAATTTACAATTAACCTTCAAAATATTCACTGATTTGCTTGCAATCAATGCTTACCACAGAAAAAGCAATGAGGAAAAGTGGAGGGGCTAAACCATAGAAGATCGCTCGCCTGTCATCATGATCTGGAAAGAGAATGGCAGCCAAAATAAAAAGACAAAAATTAACATTTCTCCATTTTTGAGGATTCCAATTTCTAGGATTTTCGTCATTTGTATTATCAGCATCATTAGCTCTTCCGGCTTGGAGTGATGACGGTTGACTTTTCATAACATCTTGGTACACAAATACGCGTATACACTGAAAATAGAAATCATGTTTGTTTAATATTTCACATGAAAGTTTATAAAACTATATATATTTATAAATAAATATTATTTTATTTTTGAAAATTCTTTTGAAATGTATACTTTTTTTTCCAGCATGCTAGAATGATTATCTGATTCAACGATAATATACTGAAATTGCTGATAATTCAAAAGCTCATCTTTTAGGTTCACACAAAAATGCACTACAAAAATTGAACCAGTTGATTTATTCATACGGAACACTACGTTCGGGCTACTAAGCTGCACATTGGTGTTTAATACGAAAGATTTTATTACGATTGGATTGCTAGAGGATCAAATTTCTTGTTTATGGAAAAACGTGCTGAGACCTTCTCGCCTCTAGGAGGTTGTTGTTTAAACCACCTTCATTTTTACCCAATGTCTGCAAGATTTGACAAGGTTTTTTGAAGCTCTTTCACCAAGAAAGAAAAGCACAGTTTAATTGCCATACACTTAAAGCAAAGCTATAATTTAAATATGCCAAAAACAAAGCTATAAACTGTAAATGCCACCTTGCTGTAAGGGATAATCTGGATGTTAGAACGGACAAATAAGTTAAAAATCGTTAAAGTTATTAAGCTTTTTTTAAATTTCATCAATTTGGTGAAATTTTTCCCCTTAAAGGAAAATTATCGAAATCAATGCGATATCCCCCCCTTTTTTTTTGTAAATTTTTATGAGTCCAGATAATATAGCATTGGAGTAAGTTTCTACACGTTAAAAAATTAGACCACAAACGCCTCTTATTTTCTGAAACTGTAACTTTTCTCCATTGCGTTAGTTAACAAACATAGATGGCGCTGGCTAAACATAAGCTAAACTTGGCCTTACGGCCATGAGAAACTATAGCAAACTTATACATCAGTTATGAAAATAGCATAATATGCTCAAAAAAGCATAATTTCACGCGACTACAGATCCTTTGTAAGGCAGGATTCTTAAACTCTACCCCTAACACCTATTTAGAGCAACAAATGAACAGGAAGTTCGCATATAAGTAACCCCCTTTTGCTTTCTTTCTTCTTAATTAAAAGACGGAAATTCCATACTACATTTCTTAACATTTCTTAACATTGTGTGAAACATTTCTTAAAAGTCATTTTTTTCTCCATTCAAGTATGTTTTCTTTATGCCATTAAGCGAGGGACGGGAAACAATAAATATCCGTTTAAACGAGCAAATATAACATTAATTCTACATAAAACAATTTGTTTCCATTAAATTTTATTCGTATAAGCGGATTATTCGATTATCCGATTTGCAATTGAGCGTGAACGACTGTATGTCAAAAATCATTTGTTATTTCGAAAATTACTAGTAACACTAAATGTGGTAATAAAAATTCTGTGGGTGTCACCGATACTCGTTACGAGTTAGACAAACACGAGTGCAAAAACGAAGTATGCTAAACGAAACAAAAAAGGAAAGAAAAAAAAATATTTTAAACTAATATAACTGTTTCAACTAAAACGCAATAATCAGTTATTCTGCTGAATATCTAGGTAACATACAGATTACCAAAAACTTTCTTGAAAAACCAAAAACTGTTTAATTTTCTTGATAATCCCCAAACTAATTTGCACATTACCTATTAATTTATCTTTGAGGGCAAAATAAGATTTTGCTGAAATAATAGCAAAGTTTCTATGCGCTTAAATTAGCGTAAAGTTAGTTATTTTTTGATACTTAAATTAACAAGTTGGTACAATCAAACAATCTATACTTTGTTGTAGTTGTTTCTAATGTCACTTGTTTTTAATGCAATGCTATCTGGAAGCCTGGTTGGCGAAACCAAGTGACAAAGGGTGTGTTTCTTGCTTTTCAATGGTGTCATTTGTGGCCAAGAATACGACTTCATCCACACATGCGTTACATCCCAGGGTGGACCCATTCATACTTCCATTCATTCATCCACAGGTCTTAATTTTGACCTAAACCGGAGAACGATCTATCTTCAATTCAGTGCCGCCCGAGGTACAGATTTGTTATGAGAACTTGGAGGACTTTGGGACCTAACAGATTAATTTGCTCCAATCACCATTTACTACACGAGGAAACTTTGGACGGTGGGGATCGAGCTCACGACCTCTTAGACATGGGTCCACAGCCCTACTAACCAGGCTATCCCGGCTGCGAATTGACAAAACATACCGTAGATTATTAACTAGGCGATTGCAAGTGGAATTGGCGATGGATTACGCGTAAATGTGGTAGGAGAACGAAATTACATTAACCTAAACAGTGAAATTCGATATTTTTTTTCTCCTCCTCGACTAGCCATGATGAATAAAAATAACTCATTAATTCATTTTAGTAGAGAATTAAAAAAGAAAATAACCTTTTTATTCTTAGGATCACGTTACAAATAAACTGTATTTATATTTTATTAAGCGCAATAATTTATATTTTATAAAACGATCTAGTTTTTTGATATAACAGATTTAATTTTTTTTACAAGAATTGTGTTTGTGAAGAAATAAAAATAATTTATTAATGAACCAATCACAAAAAATAACGTAACATTTTAATACCATGTTTTATTGGAACGCTATTTTGAAGAATTAATTCTATTTAACTTTTATTGTAAGAAAACATAACCTGTTTTAATTTAGTGATTTTCTCTGTTAAATCAATCTTGATAAAAGAATAATGTAAACTTTTTTATGAACATTTTTTTTAGAAATTAACAAAGACATATTATTTATTAGAAAAAAAAATTGGAGTATTCAAAAATGTTATCACGCTTTAAAGTAAAAATTTCTTGCAAATGAAAAAATCGATATTTTTAAAATTTTAAAGTAATCGGAAATTCGCTAGTGAAAAAAGAAATATGTGAAATAATTTCAAGAAGGGAAAAATGTACAAATGAAGGGATTTTTCTTCAATGACCTATATCGCGTTTGTTTTATTACTAGAAGCATTTATTGTAAAAAAATATTTATTAAATAACTTTTTTTTCAATGGGATGAGATCTTAAACTTCGTGAAAAATTGATTCAATTCCTTAATATATATAAAAGTCCGTAAATACTTCATTTATTATGGAGGTCATAGATACCTTGATACTCTTTCAGTATAAGAATAATAAATGCAATTAATAGAAAATGCACAATTTTAAAAATATATTTTATTTACATATATTGGGTGCAGGTTATTCTGCAACGATCATACGTAGCATAAATTTATAGATTCCTAAATACTGTTATATGAATTAGGTAATTAAAAACATAATTAAAAAAATAACAGAATTAAAAAATAACATAATTAAAAAAATTTTCAACCTTTAATTGAAAACTTCCTGTTGTCAAGTATTAATAATAATTATAATTTTTAACAACTTTTTTAAACAAAAATTTTTAATTCTCAAACTTAATACTATCCTTCATATGAAAATATCCGAAAATTTGTAAAAGAAAAACTATATTTTAAAATTGAGCCATTGGCGACAACAGAGGTCAGATGTATATACTGAGTTTAAATAAATTATATATTATAGAACTCACATTTAGGACTTAGATCAATTTATTATCAGTTCATAAGAGTGTTTTTTAATAAATAAATGTAGTGATTGTTTGATTTATAATTGTAAGTCCTGAGTGTTTAATGTTAAGTTATGTTTCCTTTGAAATAATTTTTGAACTATGCAAAGCAGGGCGACATTCATTTCAACTTAAAATGATAAAAACTTTAAATGAAATACTTTAAGAAAAATACCTTCTAAATAAGATTTAAATAAAACGCAATCACTTCGCCTGAGTGATTTTGTAAAGAATTCTAAACTTTTTAATTTTACAAGTTAGGTGAAAAGTAAATATCTTACAATAGTGGTAGGGAATGAAGGAAATTCTAAATTAAATGAACATTAAAACATTGAGTGCAAAAAATTTTCAATTCACTTAAAAGTTCACTGGAAAGTTCCCAAGATATGGTGAAATGCGCAAAAAGTAAGGTTAACACTAAGGGGTCCTAACATTGCATTGCTTTCCTGACCAAACTATTGGGATAATATTTCCAGATTGCGGCAACCCCTATATACTGGGGATCAAAAATCCGAATACGCAGGAAAAAAATTTCTCAAAGTAGGCTCGTTTTAGTGTCTGATTTCCGAACTTAAAATATATTGTCTGCTATAATTAAGCGGCATATTTGAATTCACCCTCTCGATCCATTAAGATTGAGTCCTAGAACGTAAACATCTGATCATTAGATCAAAAGTTAGTTTTAGATTTTTGTTTACTGCTCACTGTACACTAAAACGTGATTTTTTTTTCTTTTGAAATTTCGATTTTAATGCCATTACTTCAATCTCCTTCGGGTTGTGCTTACTTTATAAATTTAATCTCAACTATATTTTTCTCTTCACTTTTAAACTGTAAAGACTTTTTCTCCATTTGTAAATTATGAAAAAAATTATTAATCTGATTGCGTAAACAGTTAATTCATTAAAATTGGACATTCTCAATTAATTCCTTTCAATAGTCATTTATATTATTAATAATAATTATTTACACAAAATTATAATGAAGGAAAGTTTGATTAGAAATTTAAAAGTTTTTGCTGCTATAATTAGGGAATTTCTATCGACAAAATTCAAGTAATTTTTTTTTCCGGAGCAAAATGCATTTTTATTTAAAAGGGAACAATACTGACTTAATATTTATACGATAAAAGACTCTCTAATCGCTAACACCGATGACAGGAGAAATTTTCAATTTTTTCTTTTCCACAAAAAGTTTAAAACTTAAATTGTTGTTCTTTCATTATAAAGCAATCGTATAATATTCTCGTATCATGTAAAACTTTATAACGAAGTTACTTATCTACCGTTTTGCAGTTATAAAATGAAATAATTATTAAATTATACTTGCATTTTAAAATGTAATACTCAATTGTTCAATGAATTTTACGATTATTATTATAAAACTGCGTATAATGAACATTTCAATTAAAATAATTAGTACAAAATAGCTGCTAAAAATTCTCTTAAACATTTATAAATATTATACATTTATAAATTTCAGCTTTTCGCATTATTGCTAAATAATCTCTACGTCGAAAAATATTTAAAGAATTTCATAATAACAGAAAATTAAATAAAATTTTAAAAAAATTGTAAATGGTTATCGAGCAAAACCATTAAGTTTAATTAATGAATATAGAATCGGAAAAAGTCTCTGCTAAACAATAAAAAAAATTTTTTTTTAATCTTTTAAGTAAACAAACTTTATTATAATAATCATTTCATTATTAAGGATTAAAGGTTATTGTGAAATTATTAATTCGAATTAGTGGATGAGTAGGAAAAGAATTTCACTACTCGAAATACATTTAATGAAAGTTATGAAACTATAGAATATGTAATAATGTGTAATTTTTCTATCTTAGTTCTATTACGACCTTTTAAAAAACGCTTATAAACACAATTTAGTCAACAGATACAAACGATTATGTCGGCGCTATAACAAAAAAATACGCTTTATATTTTATTTGATGCAGAAGAATCAAATGAAGACCCGCTTAATTGAAATGTCGCACCCATATCTAACTTGTTGAATGTTATGCGATACCGAAAACAAAACAAAATCATAAGCACACAGCTGTTTGGCGATTTGCGAGAACGCTCCTTTAACGCCAATAGAAATTTTCGCCAACCCTTTGCAATCTACGGTATGTTTTGTCAATTCGCATGCCGGCTTCCCACATTAATGACTTCCGAGGTTTAGCGATAATGCTGCTGATTTTTGCTAGCAATACTTACCGTATAAACATAAGTAAAACACAAAATAATAATGACAGCTTTTAGACTGGCGTTTATATCGTAGACATCTTCCAGATCAGAGGTGATGAAATTTGAGAGAAGCAATGCTATGATTGGAGAATTTAAAAGAATCGGCCATATCACGCTTTCTTCATTTTCCTAGAATTCAAATTTAAGATCGTAACATCAGTGTAATGTATCAGTAAATGTCTTTACAAGTTTTAAATATCATAAATTTTTATTATTAGAATTTCAGTTCTGCTTGCAATTAGGGGGTAAACAATAAAGGCAGAGGAAGAAAAAAAAACACAGTAAATATTTTTTGTAAAGACAATACCTTATAGTAGATGGAATGGTGAGAGTGAGATTGTCGTCACAAATAAATATACCTATTTATAGTTATTACTGGGAACATGTACCCTTATGAACACGAATCTTATAGTAGATGGAATGGTAGTTTGAGATTGTCGTCACAAATTTATATACCTATTTATAGTTATTTCTGGGAACTTAAAAGAGTAAATGATAAAATTAGAAAAAAAATTTTTTATTGTATTCGACATTTTCTTTTAATTTGATAAATTATTTTGCTTTTAAACGCTTATCTAGAGTGTAGAGTAAGCTCTTAATAGGGGGGAAATGTAGGCATGGTAGATATATGATAAACAAAAGGTGTATTTTTTTGAAGTGCGTGAAAAAGGAAAAAGCTCAAATGCTTTCTTTTTAAGGAGGAAGATAACCTAAACGTTGGTCGCCCATACATGTTTGTTTTATAAACATAATGGGTTAATATTGTGATGAGGAAATAAGGCGAATCTTTGTTCATTTTTCTGTATTGATACCAAAAATAAATAATAAAAATGTCTTCAATTTTGCTTCTATGCGTAAAATATTTCCAACTGAAACAAAAAAATAAAAGTTTTTTTAATCATAAAATACTTATTGCAAAATAGGGAACTTGCAATAATCATTTTTACTCGTTATATTTTACAATTTTAATATCAGTATTTTGACAGTTATTTGGAAACCTGTCGTAACAGCAAACTTCTGGTAATATGCTATATATTCGTTATATTCAGCTTTAATTGAAACTTAATAATAAAACGGCCGTTTCGGTACTACGAGAAGTGCAGAGTAAGAATGAAGAGTTGTAAACCTTAATCATAATGAATTTTATTTTATTTTATTTTTTTAAATCTCTCATTGTTATCTCCCTCATCTTTTACCATACTGAATTGTGCTTAGTAATAATTTTGATATTAACTCAGAATTTTGAATAGTAGTACAATATTAAACTACTTTTTATTTAATTACAAACTATACATAACTTATAAAATTAAGATTTTTATTAACACACAAGCTAAAAATAACAGTAAATAAATATTTTCGAATTAATTTAAAAATAATAATGCTTATGAATTATTTATGGCATTTTATGAACTATTTATACATTATTTAGCTGTAATTACTCATCTTAACTATCGAGCAAACAATAAGCTGAGTAAAAATATCCATTTTTATAGGGATTTCACTTCCAAAAATTTTTCACTTTAAAAAAATTTTCTAAAATAATCACCGGAAACTGAAACAAGTTTTAATTTAATGAAGAGATTAGGAGAAACTAAATAAAAAAGAATTCTATAAATTGACTATTTATTTTATTGTTTTCCTAAAATAGCTCAATATAAAGCTTCATTATCATGTCCTTTTTTTTTCTTTTTTAATCGAGGGGTCTGATTTTAATACCTTCCTCACAAATAATTCTTGGAAACAATTTTTTTCTTAAATATTTGTAAATTGTCATCCTAACACTAACTATCTCCCTGAAAAAAATGGGATTAAAACTAAAAAAGGCTGTTTGAAATCCGACATGTCAATTATCAATATCAATTATCGTTTGCGCACGCGAATTATTTTGTTGAACTGTAAATGAAGCAAAAAATACGTTAAAAAAGAAAGAACAGAAGTGAAGTGAGAAAGATCGATTATATTTGTTAAATCTTTGGAACAACATAACGATGTTTATCTTTATTAATTATTTTCTATAATTTGTAAAATAAAAAAAAATATATAAAAAAACATATATGAAATCGTCATTAAATGTTTCCTCTCTATGAAATTTGTGCACAGTTGAAGTTTTAAATTTAAACGTCAAGACAAAGAATCATTCATCATTTCGTTTGAAGTCGGATCTGGTATCTTCGATCTTATGAATGCAGAAAAAAAGCAGGTATTTTTAACGAAGCTATATTTATGAGTAATAAAATATTTCAAAGCAAAAAATACTACACAAATAAAAATAGCATAGTTTAGTTTTTATATTGTGGTAAAATTAGCTCACCCTTTGGCGACTTTTTGAAATCTCGCCAAATTAGCGATTATTACTTGGATCTAAGTTGTTTTTTAGTAATAGTTGTATAGTTCGTTCACCAGAAGTTGAGACTTGGCTCCACCTCCTTGGACGCAGAGTTCATTTCAGCACGGGAGTTAGAAGAGAAACATCTCCGTTGTTGAAATTAAGACAACCCTTAATTTGCGCCAAACACAAAAAGTGAATTCTTTTTCAGTCACTTACTTTGCTTTATCATCTGTTATTATACCTTTTGTTACACTTGCTAATTAAATATAGTTTAAATTTAAAAACTGCTGTTCTCCCAGCGAAATGTCTCATAAAGGACAAACTATTCACTCAAAAGAAAGAAATATCATAAAAAATGGTGCAAAATATCATCAAATTTATGAAATATTTATTGTTAAAAAAATGCACATAAAGTTTGCGAAATAAATATTTTTGCCAAACGATCGCCAAATAGCAACATTGTTCAGGATTGCTCACAACCTTCTCCCAAAAACAGCGAAATGGTATCGTCGTATACCACGTGATGAAGGCGGAGCCAAGTGCCAACTCCTGGTGAACGAGCTATAGTTTAGTTTCTATTCAGCAATGAATAGAAACTTTATACTTCTGTAACTGCTTTTCTTTTTTGTATCTGTAATCTAAAAATTTTGTTATTTTGAGTACTTCTTAAAAAATTTCAATTTTTGAATCGGATTTTTTTTATTTCCGTTCGATAGGGCTTTGTAACCTTTATCTAAAAACTTAGCATAGTTTGGTTTTTTTTTTTTGTTATTTTATTTTAGAAATTGAAATTTCTATTCGCGTTTGACAGGATTTTTGTAACCTTTATTTAGCAATTTTTGTGTTCGATGTAAATACTATTTCAGAAACTGGAATTTTTTTTGTGTCGAATAGGGTTTGAGTAGGCTGAAACAGGATTTAGGTTAAGGATTTATGGATTGGTGGTTTTTATTAAACTTTAGCTGATTTTTAAAAACTTCTTTATGATATTTGAAATTTTTTTGATTGGCAGAGAATTTTTAGAAGAGTTTTTAGATATTTTTCAAGCAAATTTCTGTTCTGTAAGAATCTAATTTTTAAGAATCCGAAGTTTCTCTGGATCGGCTGAATATTTCAATGGCATAGATTTTCTGGAGGGGACACATTAAACTATCAAATGTGACAACTTAAATTTTACTCTGCGTAAAAAAGGGGTCATTATAAATTAAGAAATAAATTTTATTTTATTTTGTCTACTTAGAAATTAATTAGTATATAAATAAGGCATGTTCCATAATCATAATTTTTTAATGGATATTTTTAAAAGAAAAGCATTTTTATGCATACTATTAGGGTTTGCAAATATGAAAAAAAAATTAAAAACATTATTGAAATTTGATGAATTACTATAGAGGAAAGCGATATTAAAAGTTTTAAAATGAATTTGATTGTTGGATGAAACTTAAAGATCTTTCTATTAATTACTTTTTCCTTCCTTTTTGTTTTGTGAAGCAATCACACATGTTTCAATTTATTATTTTTCAAATTTATCCTTCGTTGTTATTGAATTGTTATGTAACGGTTATTAGTGTGAGACTCACAATGTATATATTTTTTATCTTCATTTCATTTCTGAAAAGAATTTAGAAACTTTACATTTTGGGCTGTAATTGCTTAAGTTTATATCCTAAAACTGATGCTCATTATTTATCAAAATACTAGTCCGAGAAACCATATTTTCTTTTCTCGACCAAAACTTCCGAAATATAACCTCGTATTAAAGACAGCAGCACCCTTTTGGAAAATAATTTCTTAATTAAAAAATAATAATAAATTACTCTTTGGCAATTGAAACTGGTCTTTGTCTTTACTGGAAATATTTATAGAAGTTTAACTGCTTTGGTTAGGAAAAAAGAAATGAAAAGAATAACACATTGTCCGGAACACATAATGAGACACTTTTCTTGAACTACACATTATCTCAAGAAAGTACACTCTATAACAAAAAAATCGACGCACCAAGAAGCAATCATCCGATTGCTTTGAAATTTCGTATGCATGAATGTTTTGAACAGATATGCAAATGAGGAGATATGCTGGAGGCGTATAGTTTTTAGCGGCGAATCCCGCTTCCAACTGTGATATGATGGGAAAGTGATTGCATCTGGCACAGAATGTTGATGACCTCGTTTGACAATTGGATCGAATTTGACGGGAAATACCGCAAGAGACCTCCCGGGAGCTTTATCGGTCTATGCCACGCCGTGTGGCAGCTTGTATCCAGACTAGAGGCGGGTCAACAACTTATTGAACTTGTTAAGTAACTCTGTAATAAATTATTCAATTGTTCTGAAATTTTAATCATTTACTATTCTGTACATTGTCTTCCTATCCACCAATTTTCGTTTCAATCGGACAACTCCTTCTCTGTGCGTCGATTTTTTTTGTTATAGAGTGTAGTTACACATTTTTCTTGAACTACACACTGTCTGTCTCAAAGAAACACTTAGACTTTTTTCTTGAACTACACTTCACACTGTTACAATTACACATTTTTTCAAAGAAATAAATTTTCACTTTTCCTGAATTACACATTAGCTCAAACAAATAATTTGACACACTTTCTGAATCATACATTGTCTGAAACATATAGTTTTTATAATTTTACCGGAAAAACCTCCTTAGGGTATTAGATAAAATTGTGGCTGTTATAATTAATCGCATAAATATATATAAAATAGGAAAAAAATTTCTTTATTTTTCATTCAATTTTATACGAAACGTACACAATTAACATGTTGATTGCCATGAGGGTCACCGA